AAAATAAAAATACAATTTTTTAAATAATCAATCAATCACTCAATTAATTAAACAGTGTGTAAATCAAACAGTTTGTAACCCCTAGACTAAATGATTGATAGCCCCTGCTGTAACCAGGGCTCCAGCACGACTGGGCACTGTTACCATCTGCACAAAAGAACACAATACTGGGAGCAGCACCCATGACCTACAGGGTCGGGGACAGCCATGCAAGGGGATGGGCATGTGGCCAAAGGCAGATCTCAAACCCCCTCTCCTCAAAGCCCAGGTCCTCTGGAGGTTGTGGCTTCTGGGACACTTTCTGGGAATGATCTTATATTTTAGGAAGGAAACAATCAGGAAATAGGATTCACACTAGTGTAATTCACTTTATTCAAATTCACTTTACAGCCAGTTGTGCTGAAACAGATCCATGAGAGAGATGATGGGAGGTGGCCCTTTCCCCATAAAAATATACAAGATACACTGAGCGCAAAGCCCTTAGCTAGCTCGCCGGCCCCTGTGATTGAGCAGAAACCAGTAACTCAAATAAACAATCCAACAAAACAAAGCCGTATACCTTCCTCCCCAAACTCAAAGCAGGGGAATGGGCCCTAGACCCAGCAGGGAAGAAAAGCGAGTTTAAGAGTCATAATCCCACCCAAGGACTCAACTAATAAAATTATAACCACTTTAAAAAAAAAAGTCACTTTCCCTTGTTTGGTTTAAACAAATGAGAAGACACATGATGCTGGGTGAGTTACTTATCCTCTTCAAGCCTCAGTTTTCTCACCTGTGCAAGGGAGGTATGCTAGCACAATCCTAACAGGATCCCTGGAAGGACTGAGACAAAGCATTCCTGGCTGCAGAATGGTGGTGGAAGCTACCACGTTTGTGTAACAGAAAGGGAAACAGTGAAACAGAAATCCTAAGGGAAAAACCTGTAAGAATGGACTTAGCACTTAGTACAGTGCCACAGCATACTTGAAGTAGCCAGTAAAAAGTTGGCTCTTAATTAAGACAGCCCCCCATGGTTGAGGCTGGAGATGACCTGGAGGTCCTGAGGGTAGAAGCTGGGTCTCCCCTGACAGGTCACCACAGTGCCCATCCCCACACACCCTGGGAGCAGCCAAACCCAGAGCCACTACCTAGCTGAGGCATAAGCCAGCTCCAAGCCAGGCCCTGAGACCTCCTGAATCTTCTGCCTCTGTTCCCCAGGCTCCACCTCCTCCTATCCTGGTGGAGAGCGACTTTCAGCTTTTCTGGCAGGGTGATGAGAGCGGAGATTGGGGCTGAGCCTGAGAAGAAGGCCCTTGTGCCCCCAGGCTAGGCAGACCAGAGCCCCACTTTGGGCCCACAAACCAGCTGGAACTTTACCAAAAGCATCCATCAGCCCCATCAGCCTTTAGCCAACTGCCAACCTCAGGAACTTCCTGGGTGCTTCTGGGTTCATAATTCTTTCTAAAAGTATTTTATTGAGCACCTACTGTATTCAGACACAAAGAGAAATAAATAGGCACAGGCCCTGACCTCCCCAAATCCGTTTTATTTCTAATAGTAAATTCTGATCCCAAATATAACACATTTTCAAAAAGGAAAAAAAAAAGCATCAGAAATTACTCAAGCAGATGTCCCTGCACCTCCTTATTAAAATGATTCACACTTTCTGTTATTGAACCAATTCATGAGTTTGGGGGAGTTTAAACAGCCCAAGTGTGTCTTGTAATGGGCCCTCGATGAAAAAAAAAATTGTCACATACGCCCACTCCACAGCATTTGTAACACGTCCAGCCAGCCCACAAACTCAAGTACATTGGGTTTTTCTTCACCGAGGAACTAACTTTCGTAGACTAAATGGTGTGATTTTGTTTTTAAATCTTACTCTTTGGCTTTAACATTTTCCAATCATTCACACATTAGCAAATCCCAGGATATGGTTTTCCAACGATAACAGACAAATCAAGTTGCTATTCTTCTCCGTCCACAATGCTCGTTCTCCTGATTTGTCTCTTTAATATACATCTGCACATGAAGAACACCACAATCGATGGAAGTCAGATTTAGGAATTACCTATCACCCACCCTGGGCTTCCAAATTAAATTTAAGGCACACCAGCATTTCAACTCCATCTCAAAACCACTTCAAAATATATTTCTGCCTCCTACTGACTGTGGAGTTAGGTAGGATTTCTAAACCCTCTGTGCTTCAGTTTCCTCATTTGTTCAAAAAAAAAAAATAGGACTAACCAGTTGTACCTATGTCATACATAGGTTTGTGGTAGGGACTCAAGGAAATAAGACATGCAAAGTAAGTATTAGCTGCTTTTATTAGTATGCTTTAAACACCAA